AAATAGTGCTGCTAAATGCAGCTTTCAGAGTTGGGTGGCATGGAAAAAGCTGGCACACCTTTCCCTAGTGTTTCCTGAACAGCTTAGTAGAAGGCAAGCATTCATAAAAAGATTTCCAGCAAATACCATAAGTCATGTGAACTGGTACCTTGGAAAACAGAGGGGTGAATGCCTATTCCCTCTACACCGATAAAACCCCTCCCTCTTTACTCCTTCAGCCCATTCATTTTCTATCCAGTTTTTCTACCTAGTTTTAAGATATCCTGAGAAAACAGGCTGATGAATACATGCCTCTTGCAAAGTCTACAGCAGGAGGAAGAGAGCAGAAGTTGCCCTTTTCCTGAATTACACTTTGTTACTTACAGCTACAGAATGGAGCTCAAGGTAGGGAAGAATAAAGGAAAACTGGACAAAAAAGTGTGATCAGTCAGTGGTGGAGGGAAGGAGAGGGGCAAAAAGCACAGAATTAGCATATGGTTGTACAGCGTTTTCCTGGCATTTGCAGCATCTATCTGTAAACTGCTGAAAGTTTCAATCACCTCAAACCTCCGAATTCACTTTACAGCTACAGAATGGAGCTCAAGGTAGGGAAGAATAAAGGAAAACTGGACAAAAAAGTGTGATCAGTCAGTGGTGGAGGGAAGGAGAGGGGCAAAAAGCACAGAATTAGCATATGGTTGTACAGCGTTTTCCTGGCATTTGCAGCATCTATCTGTAAACTGCTGAAAGTTTCAATCACCTCAAACCTCCGAATTCACTGCAAATTTAGGGAAGGAGAGGGGCAAAAAGCACAGAAAAAAAAAAAAGCCACCAAAATTTACATGGCCATGGCTCGGTAAATGGGGTACAAACCCCATCACCACAATGCAAATCCTAAACTGCTGCTCATACTCCAACTCCCTGTAGTACCTCCTGGCTAGAACATCCATCCCTGATGCTTGGTGAATACCCTGGGCCGGAGTGACTGACACACCGTGTCCAAACTCCTTTCAGGTCTCAATAAAAAGCCAGAGTAATTGCTCTAATCTTGCTGAGTATTTTCCTTTATGCTCTCTGACTTCTTGGTCTGAATTCACAAAAACTGTATCAACTCCATTACAAGTGATTGGTATTATTCTGACCATGATAAGCAACCAAAAATTTCTTTTGAGGAGGCACTGCTTTTTCTGTCCCTTGTAGATGACCTAGAAGTGAATCCTTATTACATACCTTCCAGGTTTTGGCAGAAGCTGTGATTTAACAAGCTTCTTCGCTAAGTGAATCCCTAGGTATTGAAATAATGCCTTCCACTCTGGTATACAACTGAAGAGTTCTTTGGTTTCTCCTCTCTGCACTGTACAACTGTGATGCAGCAGGACACACCCAGTGCAGGGAGAGCAAACTAAAACATGACTTTAGAGCTGAGCAACTGAGGCTCACTCAGCTATACAAGCTGTGTAGTTGCTCTCAGATCAAATCTGAACTCTTTCCTCTTACTGATAAATACAAACCAGATCTTGTTCATGGCTAAGTGCTGACTGATACTACTCAGACAGAATACAGAGTGAAATTTGAAGTTTGATTAAGCTTTTGAACTCCAGTGCCCTTCACAACATGCATACTCAGAAATGAAGTTTTCAGCTGCTTTCAAATATCCAATAAAGCATCTAACATTTGTATTTGAACTTTTAAATGCATAAAGTCAACAAGCAGATCCAATATTCTGAAGAACTATAAGTGAACACAGTCAAATACATCCAAATGAATTAGAAGAAACAGCTTTTAATCTCTGATAAACTCAGGGAGTCAAAACAGGCTAACAAACAGCAAGTCTGGCACGAATGGGCTATTTCTGAACTGCCTTAGCCTTCAACACTCCCAGTATTCAAGTGTCTCCAGTAACAATCCTAGGTCTAAGTCCACAGTAGCAGAGTCCACCGATGACGATAAGGAGATAAATATTATGTAGCAAGGCTGGATTGCATTCAATGATATGTAAATAAACTAACCTGTACCTACTGCAGATCACAGAAGTAAACACACCAGTTTTCAGCAACCTGTTACTCCCAGATATTTTACCCATTCCACTCTTACAAGTTTCCTTTTTCATACTGTTTTAAAATTAAAAATCCAAACACTCACCCTTCCTCCAAGTCAATAAACTGACAAGAAGAGAAATAAATTCAACTCTCCTTAAACATTATCAGGTGTACTACAAGTGAAATATAACAGCCTGAAATGTCTGGAGGTTCAGCTTACAAACACCAGCACAATATTGATGACAGAGAAAAATATTAAGACCTTAGCTATAACAATAGCTAGAGCAAGGGTTTGAGTGACTAAGAGATTGCCTCTAGGTGTTAGAGATCTACTTAAGAGAATAAATGGATCCTGATGCAAACAGCATGGTAACTGATCTCCTACATCTACGGGCACTGGTCACTCAAACCATTGCCCTATTCATGTGGTGCACAAGAGCCTCAATCTCAAAGCCAGGCATTAGCTTACATATTTTGTTTATATGGTGAAATGCTGCAAGAAACATTTTTCTAGTCTATAAAAGAAAAATATTGCAAAATGGAAATGTAGCCTTTAAAGGTCAAGAGGCTTGGATCCTCCACATTCCAATAAAATACTGTTTCTGTGAAAAAAAAAAGGAAGATCTCAACCTCAACTCCTTTAACACACACCCCCATAGTCAGTTGAGGAATGCAAATTATTTCCTTTGAGGTTATTTGGCAAAAAGAAGATGCAAAGGTCACATTTTGTTGACTTGGGATTGTGTAAATGCGTTTGTAAGAATTTACTGCCACTGAGCTTGGAGTCCTCAGAGTACCCAGTGAGGAACTGAAGTCACAATTGAACTGGAGTCAGTGACACTGTTCACTTCCAAACAGTACACAGTGAGAGTCTGAACTATGTTTGGAAAAAAATCCTTTGTAGCTCACTATGTACAGTTTTAGCTAAGTTGCACACAAATACAGCTACATAGGCACCACAGATTTGGTGCTTATACAGCCCAATATTTGTTACAGTAGTTTATAGCAGATTCCCCCACTCTGCCTCAAGAAACATTTATAGTGAAATTTGTTTTGCATTCTGCCAAGGCAGAATTAGGCAACAGCATTACAGAGATGCCTAAAAATTCTGTATTACCAGAGAATGTTGTTAGGATTAATTCCCAAAGCATTTCACATTTAAAAACCACTGTATCTTAGTGAAATGTATAGATAAAAGCTCTTCCCTACCCAGTGATTCATGCCCTAACAGTGGTATACACAAAACTTGATGGATCTAGAAAGAATATACACAAAAAATGTATTTGATTTGTTTATACTACTGCCTATTAAACAGCTCATTTTGCTTCAGTACCATTGAAGTAAATTACTGTTAATAAAATGAAGCATATTTCTCAGAACCATTAAGCATATCTACATCTCAGAGAACCTACATTCAAAGGACAAATACCAATTACCTCACTTTTTCATCTATAGGACAGACACTTCCATTTAAAAGTTAATATGCTGTGCTGCAAGCATCTCTGCTTTACAGCCCAAACAATTAAGAGTGCTGAACCTGTGATTTCAGGACATTTCTAATACAACATCTGGCATTCTCCTTCAAACTCCAGACAAAGGACTAGCTTTTGTTAGCCAATTCTGTATAAATTTCTCCCATTATCACTCCTGATAGAAAATAGGGGGGTTTACTGTTTTTTTCCATTTTCTAAGAGTACACTTGAACATCCTAAAAACATATACTAGTCACAGGGAAAGGAAAGAGTACAGTAGGAAAAGAAAAACTGGGTATTAAAACCAACTCTTAGGTTTGAACATATTCTACCCAAGTTTAATTAAAATGTGATCCTGACATTTGCCTTGAAGCAGCAATCTTGTATGATCTCCTTAATTAGAAAAACAAAACCAAGTACAGCCAAGCTCAGCATTATTTGCATTCAGCTCTATTAAGAAGTCTGTGTATTAACACAACATATGGCAGGTTGTCAGCTCATTTACTAACTGCTAACCTAAGAAGTCAATTTGCATCACTTTGTAAACACAGGACTTTAGTCTCCTTGCCAACCCTACTACACTACCTACAAAAAAACCAAATGAAAACAAACCCCAACCAGACACACACACAGGAAGACCCTCCAAAACCAAACAAAATACCTTGCAGAAGTGGCTCCCAACAAAAAATCTAAACAAGGCAATCTAATTTATGGGAAGCAAGTTATCTGAGGCATGCTCCACTCCGTGCCACACCCGTATTACTCCCAAAATGCCGAAACAGCCTTTCCTGACTGCCTTTATCTCCAGCGTTCCCAAGGAAAGGAAGTTGAGCATACACATACGAACAAGGGTGTGCACAGATGCAGAGGCACAGGGATATGCATAAGGTTTGTTTTGCATAAAGGAGCCATTGGTTTGCATCTGCTTATCTCAAACATTCTCCATCTTACACGAATAATGACTTTGAAAGAGGAAGCCGCATTCAATTTTTAAACATAAAAAGATATACATGAAGATGGGAATGCATTCACCTTGCAAATTCCCAACACACTTATAAAAAGAAATCTGTAAGTTTAAGCTCTCTCACAGCCAAGTTATTCTTGAATGCTGGTGCTAAACCTGTGTAAAACCAAGACGATCTAAATCTTGGAATCAGTCACATATAGCTTAGACACTGTCAGGCCAATCTGTAACTTGGCTAACTTTAGCGATTTCAGGATAATGCTACTGACATTCATTTTCAGATAAATATTAAAAATGCAACTAACAGAAACAGTAGCAAATAAACCATCTCACCTGTCATCTTCACTGGGAAGTCCACAGTTCTGCAGTCTTGAAAGGGCTAAACGAAAAAATTGCTCTGGAAAGAAAATATAAAGAAGATTAATGAAAACATTCAGTACTTGTCCATGCAAAAATAAGCATGTTGCCCTGACTACAGCGTTTTCAGACACAGTGGTTGATGTGCGCTGCGCATTAAAAAAAAACAAACCCCAAAAAAAAACCCAACTCAAAATAAGAACACTTGGAATTTAGGGCCACAGGTCATTCAATGACACCAAAGAAATACAGGTTTAACAGAGCTCCTCTCTCGAGTTTTTCCTGCTCCAGTACTTCCCTGTTGGAAAACAGCATGAGATTTGTATAAAAAAAACCCCTTAGTTATAGTAAATAAGAAATGCAAGAGTTTCTAAGACCTACACCCTGACTTTGTTTTTCTTCTACCCGCCTTCAGCTGAAACAGAAGTATCCAAGAGGAACTGTACAGCTGGGGACAGTAACCACATTACACACCTTGGGAGAAGACATGCCAGTCTGTGCTCACTGGCAAAGCTGAACAGGGGCACCTTCTCAGCCCTCCCTGGATGGGCAGACTCCTGCTGGACACTCAGTGTGCCTCAGAGGAAGACTCCATTCATTTCCAAGTGTACTTTTCCTCACTGTAACTCCAGAGGTGCAGGAAAATGCACCATCCTTGTTACACTGATGGAGGGCAAATCAAGAGTCTACAGCTCGGACCTGCAGGGTACTAGGAAGGTGCACTGTTCAGTGTTTAAAAACTCTGAGACTTGAGACTTTACAACCCTTTCCAACAGGGTGGTTAAGGCCCTTTAGAGTGTCTGGCCTTGTTTACTCTGCCCTGACCAAGGTTAGCAGCAGGCATGAGCAAAGAAACACTTTGCACAGGTGTGGAGGACCAGACATAAGCATGTTTTCTCTCAAACATTCCAACTGTTAGGACAGGAAAGATGTGATCACAACAGAGGTCTTGTGTGGATACCACCTTGCAGAGGTGGGGCAGTGCTGTTCTGAGCCAACTTCCTGCTACACCTGGAAAGTCCTGCTCAGTCCCCCACCTCGACTCACTTCCTGGAGGAGGGCTGCATGGTGATCATATTCTATCCCACACTCCATACTGAACTTTGTTGTGGGAGTGGGGAGCTTGTGGAAGTGTGTCATGGCTTGTCAGCCAGCACCTTTAAGGAGTTTGTTGTGGTAGTTGAGACACATGTGTTATCAATATTCTCATGCTGAATCCAAAACACAGCACTGTACCACCTACTACAAAGAAAATCAACTCTATTCCAGCCAAAACATGGATAGCAGAAGGCCAATTTTACTGATGTAAGTGCCCCAACCTGAGGACTTCTGCCTCAAGTAGGACTCTGGATCCCAGTCAGCTTAGGTGTGTTGATCAAAGCCCATCACACTGACTCAGTTAATATTTCACCTAGCAAAGCACTACCTAAGTATCTTTAGCACGCCAGCCCATGTACAAACAAAAGGAAACCGAATAACGTCTGTTATTCCTCACTCCCACCTTTTTGGATCTCCTCTGCTAAGAGGGGAAACCCCAACACAATGTTTTATTAGTTAAAAACAGGAAAGTGCCAGGTCAGAGGGACCAAATGAAACCATTAAGTCACTGCTTAGACACCTCCAATAGGATTGGCATCAGCACACAGGAAAGACCAGGGCCAGAGATTCAGGTGGCATTACAAGCCATTTAGGTATTTCTGTTGAAAAACAAGGAACGCAGAAAACACAAACCTGCTCTCTTTATTCCATAAGGCAGTTCAAACTTATTGCTCCCTTGGAACTCCGATACTCTCATAAAATCATTAGCGCACAGGAATGGGTATATTTTGTCATCACTGATGAAGGGAAAAAGAAAAAAAATTCAGAAATCCACAGGACATATCTGCATAAGCAAGTGATTCATGCAATTGCTTTGTAAAAAACCCTCTTTATCCTATCATTATAATTTTATCCTATTATCATCATTTTTTAAAAGAAGAAAATCCATTAACTCAGGGACAACAAGCAGATGATGGAAGAGGGGAAGGTTTAGTAACAGAAAATACAGGCAAAGAGTGAGATAAAAATATTTCTCTGCTAGTATAAGTTATATAGAGTCATTAAAATCACGTGACTGAAAGCTTACACCATGAGACTACATATTTCAGAGAATACGTAACCCAGGAAGACAATGAACAACTTCAGGTTTGAAAATAAATAACAGAGGCAGTAAGAAAAATTAAGAGTTATTATTGGATATGGCAATTTAGTAAGTAAGAATGGGATTTGAAACAAGGTGTTTTAACATGCAAATATCAGTTCCTGATTTGAGATGCACTCCCACTCCAAACAAGTGATGCTTTATGATTGTATTGACACTAGTAAGCAGTTTGGGGCAACAGGGGTATAGCCATACAGCAAAAAAAGTATGGAGTTCTCATGTCCACATTACATGCACCTTGGGTATTTTTTATTGTGGACTAACTCTAGTAGAGTCCCACAGCTGGAACACTCCTTAGCAACTGCAGCACATCAGGTGTGCTCCTACAGTGCACCTTCTGGCTTAACCAGATGTCTGAAAGGAGCCCAGGTCACATGCCAGGGCCACCTTGTGATGAGAAGCATGACACATGGGGATCACAAGGAGGTTTGCCTCAAAAGCACAATCTTCCTGCAAACTGGAACATGATGGTGTCATACCTTGTAAGAGTGAAGATAAAAGGAATGGGTCGCTTCTTTCTTTGAAAGAAAGTAACCACAGACACAGAATATCTCATAGCAGGGAAGGTACTCATTACCATATCGGCCAAGACAAGCCAAATGGATGAACAGTAGGCACAAACCTGTCACATGCTACCACACCCTTGGCTTCACCTTCAAATTAACTAGGCAACACGCTTACTGAACTGGTTGACTTTGCAGTGATTCTGCATACTGTGTCTTAGATTGTAATGTTAAGTCAGAAGTATACAGTCATGAGAAAGCCTAGTGTTATAAAAAACCCCAGCCAGCACAACTTGGTTTTTCATTGAGAACAGCTGTAAAAGATACCTTCCCTCTCAGTTTCATAAATCAAGTATTTCACTCTTTAAGCTCTTTTTATCCAGAAGATACTAACAGTCAAAATGGGAAAAAAACCCTAACAACAAAACACCACAGCCCACACACCAAGAACTGGGCCACAGGTTAAGTAAGCAACACCAGCTAACTTTAAGACATCATGCACTAAACACCCATATTGAATTTAATCACTTGCCTTGCTGTTCAGAAGCAGCTGGTAAGCTCAGACATAATAAATAATTTATCTACTGCAAAAAAATTCTTAATTCTAGCCCTTCTAGCTCTGGTTCCTTTCCAATAAATAATTCTGCCAGGTTAGAAATCCTTTTGACCTCCCCAGGCTATTACCAAAGTGCACAGAAAAGATCTTCAGCTCATGCAAACTGTCTCTATAAAGGAGCTAGAGAAATACACAAGAGACTCTGCTCTAGCTCTCCACCTACCTTCCCCTTGTTGCACACTTTTGAGTCCATTCCTGTTCCCTTGCTGAGCACCAGAGCTATCCTGCTGTGCCCAACACACAGACAGCCTGGACACACTCCATAGCCAAGGGAACTAGGACCACCTCACTGGACCAGAAGCTAACCAAACCTCAAAAGACTGCAAGTCTGCTTTGGGTAGGACAAACTTGACATCCTTCCCTGTTCTTTAAAAAGACCAACACAGCATTAACCATAACCACATTTTATTGTGCTCAAAAAGAACCAGAAAAAAAAAAGAAAGCCACAGTGTCTTTGTGCAGAGTTTTAAGACTCCTTCACCCAGGACTTGGTCTACACATCTTCTCAAGCTTTCTCAGGGCCTTACTCAATGTTTGCTCCAGAATGTGTAAATAGCCTATTTCTACCTCAATCAACACAGCCTTTCCTTCTCCCCCACTTCCCACAGAACACTCACCCCAGTAAGGGTTCAAATGCTGGTTTTAGAAGACAAGTGTTCAGCGCCTTCCTTCTCTCCATAGCCATAGGTGGCAGCCTGCAAAAGAAGAATTTCAAGGAAATAGCAAGAATAGAAATGGATAGCAGAAACAAGGAGGGAAACTTAGACAAGCCAAATCAGTAAAAGCTGATTACCAAGTTAACATTACACCAAATTTTCATGACTGCCTCTGCATGTGTTACAAAGATGGAACTTTCTCATTGCAGCACAATTATTTTTACTTGTAAAGGTTTTTTATCTCACAGTGCTGCTCCAAGGGGTCTGTAATCTCCCTTATCCAGCAAGTACCAAAGCAGGCATAACCAGAGGTGAGACCTCAGACCCACCTCCAGAGAAGCAGGACACCTGGGTTAAATCACCCCTGCAGTCATACCAGATAGCATCCCTAGTGCTGCTCAGAGAGGAGACAGTCTTGTTTGGAAAGGGAAACAGACAGCACGACCTAGGGTACTTCAAGGAAAATGAGATTCTTTGGGGATAAGTCATTCCACTCATAATAAGTCTAAGACTTAGACTTCTAAGCACATTCCTGTCTTGGCGATTTAGCCCAATTAATCACAAATATGAAGCCCAGAATAGAAGGTAAAATTCAGCGTGACCAGCATGTGTGTCTGGGCTTCATCAGGAACAGAAAGATGAAACCACCACATTAGAACCACAAGTCAAACAGACCATTAAGGTTAATTGCTTTCGGTAATCTCAAATTGTCACGTGAACACTGACACTGAGCACCCTGTGAAATCTATCAGCTGGCCAGCTTACTGCTTCCCAGCATCAACCTCACAGATGGCATTTTGCAGATTGGATTCACAGAGAATAGAGGCCTCTTTTTAAGTTTTAGCATACAAGCTCATTATTCCCACAAACCTAACTGCAGCAATTCACTAGCACAAGATCTGCTTATACACAAACTTGCACCATCACAAGTGAAACACACCTCTGATTTAATAAATTTCAAGCACAAACATTTCCCTCGTTGCTCTGCTAATTTTATTCAGGTATAACTTAAAATTGCAGAAATTTGAAAATTGTAAACTAATGTCCTTCCATCAATTCACTGCTTGTTACAAACAGTCATTGGAAGTGGCCAAAAATACTAAACACTGGAAACATGACATGGACAAATTCCTTTGACAGACATGTTACCATTGTGTTCATAACAGAAACAGCCAATGGACACAGCAGTACAATAATCAATTGAACAGGGAGTCTATGGACAAAGGCTACAGATTTTAGCCTCAATCCCTCCCACCTGCCAAAAAAAACAACCAAAAAAAACCCCCAAAATCCCCACCACAAAAAAACTCAACTGCTGAACTTACTGGGTAACTCCACTAGTCTCATAGGAAGGAGAAGCCCTCACAGAAGAAGTCTGTCCATAAAAGCTAATCCTGCAAAAAGGGAAATGTCACAATGCTGTGGTTTGCTGTAAACAGAAACCACAAGAGAAAGCTATTTTTGTTAACTGTATGCTATAAACAAGATAAAGGGAGGCACATCCATCACTACTTTTAAATGTTATCACTATTACCTTCATAACACTCTGGTCAGCCCTGGTCACAGCTGTGTAAAGGCCAATGGAAACTTAACTTCTTCAAATAAGTGCCCTGAATTTTAGATCCCAAACCACCTGTCCCGTGAGCCTTGAGACAGAGAAGGCTCACTGCCCACAAGGTTGTCACTGGGCCTCCATAAATTTCAGCTTTTCAAAAACATGTCCATTGCACCTGCAGTTATTCCCATGTATGGAGAAGGTCTCCCCCACGTCACTTATCAGACCCCTAAAAGAACAAACTAGAACTAAACATGCATGGGGTGGAAGGAGATACAGACACATAACACACACAAAGTATCTCCTCACCTGAACACCTATTTTCAAGAAACTCAGGGGGTTTCCCTGTCTCTGAGGTCCTGACCTTTCCATACAATCAGGCTCAAATTGACTACTAGATTTAAAAGCAACAGAAGAGAAGGAGGGACAGGACAGAACAATTACAATGATTCCATCACAGTACAAAAAAAAACCTCCAGCCACAAAATACACACACAGAGTAGTAATCATTTCTGATTACTACTAAACAGTCAAGCAGCAACACAGCAACTCACAGCCACATCTCTCATACAGCCCTGAGGGTGTTTGCACTCTAAGTGAACAAAGCATCCTCATACCAGTAGAGGTTATTTCTCCACAGATTTCCATGCAGTATACCATACATAACAGCAGCAGCCAGGATAAAAACCAGAAGAATTCGTTTCATGACTGGTGGACCTGAAACATAACAAAAACAAAACAAGAATTTTAAAACCAAGATAAGCTATTACATGAACTTTTATAAGGCACCTGGAAACCTACAAAAGGAAGTCATCGTTATGACAGCCATTCTCCACCACCACAGATCTGACAGGGGATCACAGAATCATAGAATTTTAGGGATTGGAATGGACCTTACAGATCATCTACTCCCAACCCCCCTGCCATGGGCAGGGGCACCTCCTCACTAGATCAGGCTGCTCAAGACCTCATCCAGCCTGGCCTTGAACACTGCCAGGGTTGGGGCATCTACTACCTCCCTGGGCAACCTGTGCCAGTGTTTTATCACCCTCACAGTAAAACACTTGTTTCTAATATCTCACCTAAACTTCCCCTCCTTCCATTTGAACGCGTTACTCCTTGTCCTATCATTGCAGTTCCTAACAAGGAAGCCCCCTCCTGCTCCCTTGTAGGCCCTTCAGCTATCAAAAAGTTGCTATGAGGTCTCCACACAACCTTCTCTTCTCCAGGCTGAACAGCCCCAACTTCCTCAGCCTGTCTTCACAGGCAGATGCTCCAGCCCTCTTATCAACCTTCTAGTCTCCTCTGGACTTGCTCCAACAGTTCCATGTCCTTCTTATGTTGAGGACACCAGAACTGCACACAGTATTCCAGGTGGGGTCTCATGAGAAAAGAGTAGAGGGGAAGAATCACCTCTTTTGACCTGTTGGCCACACTGGTTTTGATGCAGCCCAGGATACAATTGGCTTTCTGGGCTGCTAGCACACACTGCTGGCTCATGGTGACCTTCTCACCCACTGTCACTCCCAAGTCTTTCTCCTCAGGGCTGCTTTCAATTACTTCCCCACCCAATCTGTAGCTGTGCCTGGGATTGCCATGGCCCAGATGTAGGACCTCGGCACTTTATTTTGTTGAATTTCATGAGGTTTGCATGGATCACTCCACTTTGATTTCTCACATGAAGACCCAGTGACAGGAGCTGAATGCTGCTTTGCACCTACCACAGATGCATACTCTGCACAGAAGCATTGAGAGGGGCTGACTCTAGGATCTCTCTGAAGACACAGAAAAAAGACAGGCTCTTCCAGAAGCATGTCAGAGTAGAAAGTCTCTTCTGTGCACAGGCAGCCCAAAGAAACCAGACTCTTGGGTCAGCAATTGGCCTTTACAGGTACCTGCACTTTGCCTCTTTCTTGTGCCACGCACTATCAGTTTCCATAATTACACCTCTAAACAAGCATTAGCACTTTGCAGGAGACAGATAGGTTGATGAAACAGAACAGGGTATGAGCTGACACAAATTTCTAGTGGCTCTTTTAGGAACACTGAATGTTCTTAAAAGTTAGATTTCTACATTTAAAGCTGCCCTGCAGCTATTTGCTTATGCCTACACAGTCTCCAGTTCCTGACACAGGCCAGACTTCATTGCTCAAGTGACAGAAAAATGTTATTTTCACACATCGCTAAGTGAGGAAGAAAAGTGAGGACCCAATCTGGAATTTACTAAGTTATGGAGAAATATCAAAGGAAGTGTTTGTTTTCCAAATAGAGTTCGCACCTCATTGCACACTCCAGTAAAAGAAAAACAGAAAAATATCAGAAACTCATGTATCTGGCAAGACATACCGAGGGAAAAGCAAGTTCTGTATTGCTCACATCTTACACACTGAGCTGCCTTTTCAGTAGCTATGAATGAACTGCTGTTGCTTCATCTTGTCAAAATCCAAAATAGCCATTCTGGCCACAATTTACTGTGGAAATTTACTTGAGAGCTATAACCTTCTATTATTTCACTTCCCCATGATGGTAAGCAGGTTCAAAGTACACAACGCACACATACCTACTTGCCTTTCTGTATTTTACAGTGAGCATAAACAGCTGTCCAGCGAAAGAAGACATATCCAAACATACTGATGCACTTTTCAAGAGCAGGACCTCTGCATTTATGGTTTGGTTTTCTGCCTTTTTTTAAAAAAATTCTCTTTTTTTAATTCCATGTTGATTTTTAGCGTGTTTAGAGTTGCTGTTATTTGAAACAGCCCTAATGCAATGAAACTCAAGGTGGACATAGTCCAAGTGATATACAGCAATATGCTTTATGCTAGTAACTTTTCAATGTCACACCTTAAAGGCCAAGAAACTACTAGAGACATTTTCTTGTTATTAGAAATCAAAAAGCAAATTACTGCCACACTCACAGCTTCACCTCTGAAGAAATACCTAACAGCACTTGAATGCAACAAGCCACCAATTCCTTTTTTCCTTTTTTTTCCTAGCCATATCCTTTGTCAGAGTTTAACTGCAGAGTCAGAGATGGCTCTGTTAGTGGTAGATGCTGTTAAAAAAACCTTGCAATGAACAAGGTATAATACATCAACCTTAAGTATATCCTTCAAGGCTTGTCCTGCTCTGTTCTGGAAGAAATACTCATAGGCTACAGCTGTTGCAGTTTCAACATTTCATCCCTCCTTGGGAAGTAGCACTGCCTCCCTTCAGCTCCAACTCCCCTGACTCTTCTTGAAGGGACACTGCAAATTTGCCTTGATAGTCACTCTCAACTTGTAGAGCAATCTCCAAGTTTT